GACTGTTGACCGGATTTGTTATCCGCTCAATATGAATATTGTTCTAAGTGTTAAACCGTTCAAAGAATATTTAGTGTATTGACCGGATTAGATGTCCGGACAAGGTGGACTTGTTGTAAACCGGACGGTTGTTGACCGGATTAGTTGACCGGACTTGTAAACCGGATGATTGTTGACCGGACTTGTTGTCCGGATAACTTTATGTTGGATATTTTATAAGTTTTTAAATGTTTATTTAATTATGATTCATAAAATGATTATTCTAAAATAAATGAAATGTTCCTACCAAGCGTGGTGACGTAAGTCTGTTTTGGTATTGGAACGGGATTTTGGGAAATGTTCCTACCAAGCGTGGTGACGTAAGTCTGTTTTGGTATTGGAACGGGATTTTGGGAAATGTTTCTACGAAGCGTGGTGACGTAAGTCTGTTTTGGTACGAAACTATATTTTGAGAAACCTTTCTACCAAGCGTGGTGACGTAAATCTGTTTTGGTATGGAAGTGAGTTTTAAACGGTAGTTCCCCCAGACGTGGTGACTTATGTCTGTTCTGGCTTGGAACTGGGAATGAGTACTTTCAGACGTGGTGRCTTATGTCTGTTCTGATAAGTAGCTCTGTTTTTATTGGAGGAATAAGGGTGGCATATCAAGGAGAGGTGTATTTGGAATAAGGGTGGCATTGTCATATGTGGATGTTATTATTATGACTCTTATTATTATTACTAAATTGGATTTAATAACTTTAAATCATCATTTCTTTGTGACCTGATGAATTAAAGATATTATTCCTTTTTAGAAGTAATAATTTAGATGTTATTGAGAAGGGGAAAAGGGTTTGTCATAACAGGCAAGTTTTGCCTTAAATCTTTCCTGTTAAAGGAATGGTATTTTAATTCAAAAAGTTTCGATACTGGGAAAGATTTCTGTTTAGAGATATTTTAAAGAAGTGAGGTTCTTGGATATACTTCTTTATGTATGACATTGTGAACTGCATCAATTGTTATATTGCAGTATATTTCTAAACCAAGATTACATTATCATATTTTGGTGTTCATCACCCTGCATTTGCAAATAGGGGATTTACTCACTAGACCCGTATGGTCTAACCCGGGGATATGAAAGGGAAAGGGAAAATGTGATTATTTTCCTAACCTATTGTCTGCTTTTGGAAGATACATGTTATATTACATGTAGTAGTACAGGATTTGTTTTGAAAATTTTATATGTAGATTTTGTACATATAGCAATCCTTGTACTAGTGGGACCTTTTGATGTAAT